AGCAAGAAAGAAATATATATTTTTGTATCTGATGGTTTGGGTTTATAACTTCATGAACGGCACGCATATATGCTATGGGCTCACCAGAGTGCATGATAGACTTAAAGGAGAGGTTACACCTCTGAACATCAAAAGGGAATTTGTACACGTGCAGCTTGCAGGTGCTTACGATCACCTGGTCATTTCTGTATTCAACCAAACCACCGCTTTCAATGGAGAGATAAGGACTCGGAGAGGCTTTGTCTCGCTCTGTCCTGTAAGACAGAAAATTACAATCAGTTATAGCCACTCAAAAAAGCAGCATCAGTTATGACAAATAGGTAGACAGAATCCTACTCAAATCTTACTCTCCAGCTGAGGAGGATTAATGCATTAAGCCACCATGTCTTAATTACTTATGGTAGAATCCAGATAAAACCTGCAACATCAAGTGGCGACTTACACAAGAGTTTGTGTTAAATTACTTAATAATTTCAGCTAGAAATGATGGACTAGAAATTCTGACAAAGTTTGGTAACCAATGATCTCTTCCCTCCCAATTGTCCTCAGACACGCCTTTATCCACACCTCATCAAGCTCAGACCACCAGGATCAATACGAATGACCCACACAAACATGCCTGCGTGGGACAAAAATGAACCCTAGGGCTGTTCCACACAGAGTCCAACTGGTAATACCCACACATGGGCCACAGAAGTTTTGCCCTTTGTTGCCCTCAAGAGCAAATCATACCTTTTCATCTCTGCTCTGGAGAATACAGCATCTGTTACTATGGAGAATGTACCCCATTAAGAACTGACCCATTTTCGTAGTATAAGAAAAACTAAGGATTTAATCTGTAGTTACTGGATAAGCCATGAGTACCATTCAGAGAAAGTTGGGAAATAGCTTTAAGATGGTGAAAGATGTACCCATAGGCCACTTCCTTGATTCAGACATGGTCTTTCTTTTTTCATGTAAAGGAGCTACTCTAACTTGCATTCCTCCCTGTGCAGGATGTGTAACTCTTCATCACTGAAAAAGTAGCCACTGGTCTGTAGGAAAAGGCAGATCTAACGCAACATCTTTTGGATTTGTTGTTTTAGGTGTGTAAAAAGAAATAGAGCAGTGGGCAAGCAATCTGTCCATAGGTTTTTGGGGGGTGGGGGGTTTGCAAAGGATTTAGCACTAAAACTAAAACTAAAACACTAAAACTTTAGCAACACAAGGATGAACAAGTGCAGGAATATCACTGCGAGATTATCTAAATGACAGAGGGATATCCAAATAACTGAATATTCAGGTGCATCCATATAGATATGTGCTGGACAAAATGGATCTTGGAAAAGGAAGGTTATCATTTCATGTTTCAAAGCCACGATGTACCTCATGAATCCTGCTTGGTTTGAGCTGATTGCGCCATGACAAAACAATTATCCAGTGCACATATCCAAAATTATCCAGGACAGCATTTAGTTGCTATTCTTTTTTAATGGGATGGTCAACATAGATATAGTCTTTATTAATGTCTTGGAGGGCTCAACATGACCACATGGACTTGAAGGGCTTGCTGCTCAATTTGCAACATATTTAATGAATTATACAATATCTTCAAGGATAAAAAAAATTAATGATGTTAAGATTTTGAAGAGCAGCATATACGTTTCTAATAATGAATTATAAATGTTCAGCTTTGGGGTTGTTTTTTTTTAGCTGTAGCTTAATGCCTTATTGCTAGTGACTGTATGGTCTGTGTGAGTTTATGTGCATATATGTTAAACTTACATCTCTGAAATAGTTATATCTGGCATCCACAAATATTCAGTAGGAATTGTTATTTGTTTAATTCCACAGAATTGATCTGGTTCCCACTTAGTGTACTCGTTTTTCCATGACTAGTCAGAGGGATACAAATAAGAGGAAAGAGATACAAACAAGGAGAAAAAGACAAAAGATGAAAACACGTAATTTCAAGCAATTTCAATTTCAACAATACTGTGAAAATTGATGTATTTGAAAGAGAAAACTCACCAAATAAACCCAAATGTAAGAAATTAAGGTCTGGTCAATTTCTCTCTGTGAACAAAGAAATCAAGCAGTGTTCAAGCTCAAATGGTTGAGCCTGACTTGTGCCACAGTAATCCTAGAAAGACCTGGGTAAGATCAACAGTATGCAGCCTCCAATAGACAAGAAAAACCCAACATCTGGGAAGTCTTAAATGGTCTTAGACAACTAACAGAAGCATAGAAGGCCACAAAAGACAGACATTGATGTATTCATAGATGAAGCTTATGGATCTCCATAATTAAGAGAATACCAAACTGAGAGAATACATGACAGTGAAAACTGAAATTATGCATATGAAGCAGACAAATATGCACCAATTGAGCAGACTTTTGACATTATTTTATTATCGAAAGAAACAAACTATTTGGTAACAAAAATATCCATTATCATTTATTCAAACTAAAACACACAAACATACACAAGTAGCTTGAACAACTTACCATATCCAGAATAGCGTAGAGTTTCATGTCAAGCACAACATCTGTATGATGACTGTTGTTTATAATGGGCCGGCTCACAGTGTACTTAATACTGTCTTTACTTAGATCCAGGTGCTGTACAATAGCCTGAAAATTGCAGAGTTTCTCCACTTCCACTTCATTATCTAAAAGGACACATAAAAAGACATTCTTGAGATTGATGTTATGATATGAAAACAATAAAGCAGCTTCTATGCTTTCATTTCAGATTGTCAATTTATTGCAGGTCTGGATAACTGTGTCAAGAAAACAAAAAAAACAAACAACAAAAACAGACGACATCACTTGTTGGCATGTACAGTACTGTGGAAACGCCCTCAGTCATCTTTATTTTCTTTATATTTTGCTATTAAAAGTGAAGAGATTAATTGAAAGGTTAGCAAGCATACATGTAATTACTGTATATGAAGCAAAAACTTCATTTATACAATTCCAGCTTGAAATTCAACACTTCATATAAAAAACAATATTATCCAACATAGTCTGAGCTCTCTTAGGCAAACTTTCTTGTAATTTCTTAAAGTAGTCTTCAGTAGTAGTTTTCTAATCTTCACTAAGGACATTCAAAGCTCTTCTTTGGATGTTAGTGGCCTTTTGTTCTATTATCTGTCATAACGATTTCACATTATTTAATTAATTTCGAGGTCTATCTTTGACTGTTAGTTTTCCATTCTGTGCTTTTGTATCCATTTATTCTTTTACTGCATTAGCAGTGTGGTTGCCAAGCTAAAATAAATAAATAAATAAAGATGCTGATCAGCTGCTCCTGTATACCTGATCAAAATCTGACAGTACTTGGCTGTGGTACCTCGCTGCTGAGCTCCTCTATACATATAGACAAAGGTTTCGCTCCAAAAGTACAAATTTTGGATTCTTCAGTCTACAAAACTTGTTGCGACTGATTATCAGTTCTTGTGTAATTTGACATACCTCAGCCTTTTCACCCTGAGCCTCTTGACAGCCTCCATTCCACTGAGACCATTTCTGTTGAGGCTTTGGTGAATGGCAGGTGGGGCTGAAGGGCCATATCCATCTCTTAGCCCTGTATCAGATCTTTGTTGGATTGTTTTTTGTTTCTTAAAGCCATGAACTTGAGACACTGTTTGTGTGCTCATGTTCGGATGAGGTTTTTGACTAATAGCTCTTTGAGAATTGCTTTGTTGGTGCAAAAATACTATTTTATGTCAGTCAAACTGTGTTATCCTCTGTCATAGGCTTAAGAAAACAAGAAAATGTGCCTCTGAAAATGGTTAGGTGGAAGTGCTGGAATGAAAACGACTCCCAAGGAGAGAAAAACTGAGAGACTGGAAATAAGAGGTGGCAAAAGACTTTAAGAGAGAGAGAGAGAGAGAGAGAGATAGAGAGAGAGACGCTATGTACCTCTTATAGTGGTCTCACTGGTCATCTGTTGATCTTCCTGTAGCTCTGAACTGGATGCATTTTCAGCTGACAATGAGTGCACTAATTTTTAAAAATAAAAAAATGTGTTAATATGACTTGCTTTACTTTAATATGTGGTTAGAATTAATTCGAGGTTTTATTTAAAAATGCAGTGTCATGAATAGCTGTGTGGCAGGCAGGATGCTGAACCAAACACAAAACTCTGGAAACAGTATGAACTCAATTCAATTGCTGAACAATGACAAACAAAGGAAGTCCAAAAACACACACAGAGCGAGATATGAAAATTAAAAACTAGGAATAATGGAACCAAGAAACACAGAGCAGGGGAGCACACAGCAAAGTGAGATGACACGGAAAAGGGCAAGAGGAGAGAATATTTACACAAGGTAAAACAGGTGGGAAACAAATCGGTGAAAATGAGACAAAGGAAATGAAATGAAATGAAAAGCACAAGAAACCAAGACACCAAAATCTGTTTGATTTTGGTGTCTTGGTGTCCAAAAACAACCACAGAGTTAAGACTGGAGGAACAGAATGGGGTCATGAAAGAGAACTAACAAATTTAAGGAAACATTATGAGCAAAGAAGTAAAGGCAAAAATATCAGAGACATAAAAGCACAAGAATAAAATCATAAACAACAACTTTGATAAAATCCTTTCACGAATCCCAAAGCAAACCTTGAACCACAAAACTGAAAAACTCGGGTTTAAGACTCAGGGATTATGACACTCATGGATGTTAGATATCACAGGAAAATGTATCGTACGGTTACAGTGTAACCTTGGTTCTCTTAGTGGGAGACTATCTCTCCACACCTTTACATATTCCATATGTACGGAGTACGAGCCCTCTTGGTCATGGCGTGTCGATATTTCTTTAAGACACTCCAGCACGCCCGGCTACGCCCCACAGCTTACGTATAAAACAGCTGTGTGGACGTGACACCAGTGATGATCAGAACGCATCTCCGAGCGGCCTCACGGTGGAGAGATAGTCTCTCACTAAGAGAACCAAGGTTACACCGTAACCGTACGTTCTCTAGCATATCGAGACTATCTCTCCACACCGTTACATATTCCATATGTACGGGGTAACTCTGTAAGACACCCCGCGAGGAGACAGTGCACCACCGAGAGTGAAGGTGCCGGGAGTCAGTGACAACGCACCAAGAGAGACACCACCCTGGTCAGGGCTTCGCAATGCGAAGGCCGAGCCAGGGGGTGGAGGCAGCAGTCTGCAGACGCTAGACTGCCCTGAACCGGTCATGCAGGACACAGGACCGTAAGTGATTGGCCGCTCAAGGTCAGCCCGGGAACCGCGAGGCAGACCGGCAGGGAACGCAGCACACCGAGCTGCCAAGTAGCATCCCGCTGGTCGCATAGGCCTACAACATGAGGGCAATGCCAGACAGAGAGTCGGCGCTACAGGCTGGAGAACTCTCACTCGCCACAGCGAGGTCCGACTGGCGTGTACGCCGGCGAAGCGGGCAACACGCCAGGGGAACACAGCCAGCAACCTCAGGTGAAGCTTTGGATGTGACCCGTCCATCCTCAAAGCCGAAGCCACCCCGAGCTGTTCACAGACAGGGAGGGGGGGGGCTGGCAGCCTAGCCGGCATAAGTGGAGGGCTGAGCAAGGCGATGACCCGAAGGTCCACCCCCAGCACCGTCACCACGTGCTTGTCTGTAGACAGAGGAGCCTCAAGAGTGAACTCGCCGGCTTACACGCCAGGGGAACACAGCAAGCAGCTGTAGTGCAGCCGCTGGAGAGGAGCTCCAAGCCAGGGACGCGACCCACAGGTCGCCCCAGGGCCAAGCGGCACAACACACTCGCTGGCTGACTTATCAGACACAGCGAGGCCTGGCTAACACGCAACGGGTGAACCGCCTGCAGGGAGCCAGGCACTGTGGGCTGGAGAACACTCACTCGCTGAGCATCAGACACAGAGAGGTCCAGCTGGCGCGTAAACCGGCGAAGCGCGGGCAATACGCCAGGGGAACACAGCCTGCAGCAGCAGCAGTAGCAGCAGCAGCAGAAGCTGAAGCTGCAGTCAGAGCCGAGAAGCCGCCCCACTCGAGCAATGACAGGAGCCCTGCTGGCTGTGTGAACCGCGCACTGCGGGCAACACACTAGGCTGGAGAATGCCACTCGCCGCAGCGAGGTGCGACTGGCGTGGAAGCCGGCGAACGTGGGCAAACACCAGGGCAACACAGCCTACCAAGCCACTCGAGCACAGCAGCTGGCTATCGCTGTGACAGAAGCCCGCGATATGCAGATGATGCCCCAGAAGGGAAGGCAGAGCCGCCACCTAGAGAAGTCAAGCCACAACAGAGCCCTGCCTGGTACTAGGCAGTGACACAGTGCCAGGGAGAAAGAGCCTGTCGAAGCATCTCGGCCACTCAGTGGATTAGCCCAGGGAGGACGAGGCCCAGGGCCTGTCCCAGGAGTAGAGCAGCTGACCTGCACCAACCACGATAGGGGAGGTGCTGGTGGCTCAGGCCACTAAGGGCCCAAGTGAGGAGCAACCCAAGGTTCATCACCAGTGCATAGCAGCCACTCTGCAGAGTCTATAGACAGGGGGCCAGCAGAGGGGGGCCTGATGAGACACTAACGGACAGACGGGAGGTGTCAAATCACTGGGCGGGTACCTGCTGGCCATGTGACCCGCGATACAGGGGAAACCCACTAGATGGAGAGCCAGCGCTGCGTGCTGGAGAACACCCACTCAGCGACTGACATATCAGACACAGCAAGGTCTGACTGGCGTGTGAGTCGGCGAACCGTGGGCTATACGCCAGAGGAACACAGCCCGCAGCAGCAGTACAGCTGCAAGACGCAGGGCCAAGGCAGGGATGCAAACTGTAGGGTCCATCCAACCACGGAGCCGCCCAGCCGTCCACAGACGGGGGGGTTGGCAGTCCAGCCCGCTGACGGCCAAGCGGGGACTTAACCCAAAGGTCTGCCCCAGGGCTAAGCGGTCGCTAGCGCTGTCCGCAGACAGGGGAGCAGCAGGTGTGAACTTCGAAATGAGACACAGTGCGGCAAGCTGGAGAACACTCACTCGCCGGCTGAAAAATCAGACACAGCCAGGCACAGCCACACTGCTCGTGCCTACCGTAAAAAGGCAAAATGCCATACACAGACATGTTTGGGACGGTGGGCTGCCATACTTCTTCTACCAAGCAAGGGGGCGGGGCCACACGCTAACCAGGAAGGTAGCCGGTGTCGTGCCAAACTAGGTATCACCGACAGAATTTGTTTCCCCTGCGTCGGGAGCACACGCTGGACTGTCCAAATCACGGACAAACAGTATCCCACATTGTTGATTTTTAGTT